TAGTTCATGAGAACCTTTTTACCCCCACGAAAGCAGGGACTTTTGTACGGCTCTCTTGTGAGAAAAGAGCTATATTTCTGATTGGCTGGGCGGATTACAAACCACGCCCCGTAAAACTCCCAAAAAGTTTTGTGAAGCCGCCATTTTATTATCCTCGCATTAGCATTATTAGCATTAGCCCAGCGCAGAAACGCAGAGAGACTAACTTATGGCAACACAAAATAAAACATGGGAGCGGTGGAGATGGGGAGGTGTCGGCGTTCTGGCGATTTACTCGGAAGGCTGCTGGGACTCCCAGCAGCTTCTACTGAAGCCAGTCCCCAACTCCGGGGACTTCCGGCCGGGGACTTTGGGCGGCAGTATACGCCGTGAAGTGGTTTGCGGCCTGCCAGTAAACCCAAAGCAGAAGAAGAAGAAGTGACGTCAGCGGCTTCATTTGCCTAATCTACCCCCAGGTTCAAAGATTTCTCATGAACTAAATTCTCATGAACCTTTGTGGGAAAAGTACTGCGGTGTGAATGCGCCTAATGGTATACTAAAATCCATGTGAAAAAAATTGCTTCTCACTGTTCTCAGGTCAAATATTTATATGTGATTAAAAATGCGATTAATTTCGATTAATTAATTACAAAGCCTCTAATTAATTAGATTAATTTTTTTAATCGAGTCCCGGCCCTAATATTTACCCAACACAACTCTGAAATACTTACATGTTTCCAGCATCACATATTCCACACACTACGAAAAAAACATCCCCATATTTTCTCTCATTTTAAATCCCACTGTCACTTCGAACAATAGTAAACCTGCAGAGCACACCAATCGGATCACAGTAATGACATTTGAATCAAGTGTAGGCCTATGTCTACTTTCTGAACATTTATTTATATTGTCTAAATTCCTTGTCTATGATGTGCAAACAGTTCGAGTGTAAAATGTGTTTTCACAATGTATTTACACTACAGATTCTTGAGTTTACTCATCTCCTGGTGCTGTCGTTGTAAAAAATGTTCAATCCCTTATTGTTTTGTACCAGTTTTCCAAAATCAGTTCTAATTAATATACTGGGCTATTGTCGTTGTTACTATTAACGTGCTTCCCGTCTTCAATACCGGCCAGCAATGTAATGAAAAATGTCAAGGGTGTGCTATCCCCTTTCAGCCACTAGATGGCAGCAGCAAGGGTGTGATACCCCCTTTCAGCCACTAGATGGCAGCAGCAGAGGTCCGCAGACAATTGCTCACACAGGTATTTTAGGTATAAATCACACCGATTTATTCCCCGTACAGTTTGTCCAGCTTTTATAATGTGATGTTTATTTCAACAGGCTAGTGTACCTCGAATGATGAAGAGCCCTTTATCACACGTTTAGCTTTTCAAATTAAGTTTACAGACAAAGGGAAAACGAGAGACGGTCCCGTCACAATTTTTGGTGAGGTTCGCGTTCTCTCCCTCGATCAACATAACAGACCTCTGGCTTTTAGCTTTCAGCCTTGGTCTGTTATTTTACCCCAGTTTTAAACGGCGACCCGATCTGATATATCGAGTTTCCAGGTTTTGTCGTGCAGGAATCAAACCTCGCACCGGCAAACTGCACCGTCTCCACGCCACTCAGGAATAAACTACCTGTAGATCCACGCCAAACTGCTCTATTTACGTCACGCAGGACTTTCCGTCTACCTGGCGATCAACGTTTACGTTTTGTATATAACTTTCCTAACATAGTAAAATATGCATTGTATATTCCATTTAAACTTTCTGGTCGTCTGGATTCTTCCTCAGCTTCGTTATATCTGGCACGTCGAGATCACCACTTGTTAGAGATTTAAAGGGATAACTGGTCCGCTTTTCAAATCTCTGCACGTCCCTATCAAGCTGGTTAATACAGGAAGGAATCCAGAGCTACCAAATAACCGTTACTTTAATGATAATATGACAATACAATACAATCAATACAGTACAAATTCAACACAGTTAATCCCTGGGATCCCGAATTTACCTGCACGTGAGCCAGCCAGAGGAAAGAGGCTGAACACCGCGTGTGTGTCTGTTTATACTCTTTGACAATGGGAGGAGTTATCAGATCCTCCCCTTTGGAGCTCATTGATTGGCCGCCCAAATATCACAGACACCTCCGACCTTAGGTTTCCCCAACCACTGTAGCTAGAGCATTTGAATGCAAATCAAGACATGCTCTCACCTTCCCCCCATCTTCCTTTGTCCTCAAAAACACATGTCAAAAGGCCCCAAATCCAGCTCACAGTTTCACCCCAATTATTCCCATTTTAAGCTTATCCATAGTTTGCTAACATGAATAAATACAAATATAACTCTACAGTGTGTGTGTGTGTGTGTGTGTGTGTGTGTGTGTGTGTGTGTGTGTGTGTGTGTGTGTGTGTGTGTGTGTGTGTGTGTGTGTGTGTGTGTGTGTGTGTGTGTGTGTGTGTGTGTGTGTGTGTGTGTGTGTGTGTGTGTGTGTGTGTGTGTCGAGGGGGAACACTTTGGGCTTCCATGTTAAATGACATTTTCTCTGTGGACAATTTCTATATCCCCCTATAGTGGCTTGGAATGAAAGAGCAACTAAGATGTCAATCCATTTTCTCATCCAACCTATCAAACAATTGTGTTTTCTGGCTCCTTTACAACTTCACACAGCTGTTGGCATATTCTCTACAAGCCTCTATTCTCAAAGAAGTGGAAAGGTCACACCGAGCCCTTAATAATGAAACGTGCTTTGATGTGCCGTCGGATCACAGGATGACAGATGATAGGCTCGCTGTGTGTAAGTCCGAACCAGGTGGGAATCAAAGGCAGAGGCAGCCAGGTGAGATGAGAGGCTGCTGGACACCTCATGTAATCCTTCATCCAGCCTCTGTATGTCATTAAACCTGCGTATACAAAACATACACAATAATAGGTAGCAGCCCTCCTGAGAAATGTAAGGATGAAACAATGTAATTACGTTCTGATGCTAAAATGGTTTCAAGAACCTATACCTTGTATAAATATATCAGGCCATGTACGTACTCAAGGTATATCGATTTTTATTTCAGAATCAGAATCAGAAACGGGTTTATTACCAGGTAGGTTTACACGTACAAGGAATTTGACTAGGTGTCATACATAAAAGTAAAAAAGAACATAGGTAGCAAACTATATTATGAACACTGTAATAAAAATATAGTAAGATAGCAATAAAATAAAGCAGTAATTTACATTGAAATAGAATGCAATAAAATATAGAATATCAAATAAAAAATATGTGCAGTAAGCAATATTGTCACACAAAAAGGTGAAGCCTTATTATTTAAACAGGCCGGGTTTCCCTTTTCCTGTAGTGTTTGATACAGATTTGTGTGCATGTAAATGGTCTGCAGAGGCTAAAATACCAAAGTTCCCTCCAGAGGGAGCTTCTCTCCCACACCTTCGCCCTCCTGCCTGGAACACTTTCCTTGGACTCCTTTATTTACTTCCATAACATACTATTTTACACTCACGCTACTATTGGCTGCACTACGAGACATTGTACGTGATTGGCTTGGGCTCTGGTTTCAGACAGAGGGTGAAAAGAGGTGCTAGAGCACAGGCAGTATGAGAAAAATAAAGAGCTTTTTGAACATTAAAGCATGTCAACTTTTCACATAGACAACAAATACAGTTATGGTACCTGGAAACTAGCATAATATGTCCTCAGTAGAATCCAAGCTACTTTCAATCACACACACACACACACACACACACACACACACACACACGCACGCACGCACGCACACACACACCGCACACACACACACACACACACACACACACACACACACACACACACACACACACACACCACTGAAATAAAATAGTATTTGATGGCTTCACAGCAGGGTCCTTGCCTGGAAACCAATAACAGGTAAATTGGCAGCCTGCTGATCGATGATGAATGAAACTGCAATATATATTCCTGCTCATGCCCACAGGTCAGTGAAAACTTGACCCTCTCTTGTTATCAAAGCTCAACATATTATAAGAGCACAAAAATACGATGTGTTTCTCTAAATGCCTTCCTGCCTGGCTAGTGCTGGAGCATCCTGTTCCAGCATCTGACAGAAGTGAGCTGTTGCTTTCTGATAAATGTGCTCTCTGGGATGTTATCCAGTGTTCTCATCCGTCTGTAGGCTCGTTGGCAGGTGTTGTGGCTGGATGTCAAGACCACAGCTACATTGGGTTGTGTCCAAGGAGAAAATTGCTTTAAAAAATCAGTCCCTCCTGTACCTGTTATGCATAGATATCTACCAGTCCTAGCGCTGTGCAGTGGATTTTCTATCTTGTATGAAAACAATTGGAATAAACCTGGTTCAAAGAATCGAAATAACTTCAAAATGAGTAGCAGTTGTACATGAGTGGATAATAGCCAATTGTGTGTTGCGTTTATACAAAAGAACAATGAAAAGCTACTTCCTAACCTAACTATACACTGTAAACCCGAACGTTCAAAATAATTAAATAGATTAATTAGTGTAAACTTAAATTTAAAAAAAAGTTCTACTAACTTCAATATATTCAGTTCCTGTGACTGTTCTTCGTTTTTGAGTTAAGTAAACTGATCATCTTTGATTAACTTGAACTATTTGGCGGATTAAATAAGCATCACTTAAACATATACATTGAACTGTACTCATTTCTAATGCTTATTGTGTGTCTGACGTCACTAACTGTCGAAAGTGGGATGCAGCACATGCAGCTAATACCTGCAATAAGGTGGATCTTCACACTTCATTTCCACACTTTCCGGTGGTAATCAGCATCATTGGTCTCACTGTAAGTGCAATATTCATATTTCTTCACTTTTTTAAATATTTTGAGATTAAACATGTGAAAGAGAGTGTTGATGTTAGCCAGATACATGCATGTTAGCTAGCATTAGCCATAGCTTGAGTCAGCAGATTCACAGAAATGCCTGAATTATTTGCACAGTTACTGTATAATGTTAACTTGTAAGATATGTAGTTGTGGAAACTTGGTGCCAAAATAGGGCTGTCACTTTTTGTATATATATGATGAAAAATGTCATTGCCCCTAAGCTAATTATGTATTCAAAAAGTTCAGCCAAATGCATTGTGGTTGTGGGTGCTCGTAGTGACGGCAGCCGTTGAAACACTAACATAATAGGTAGGTTTCCTAATAAAAGCCTTCAATGTTAGTTTAATCAATTTATACTCAAATGTGTGTCATAATATACCCAACCATTTACTTAATTTACTACGAGCAACCCCGAAGGCATTGGACTGCAAGTCACTATTTAACACGGTCACTAGCTAGCTAGTTTGCTAACAGTTAGCAAGCTAACATTTTCATCCACTGTAAACCACGAGGTGCGGAGATTTGTGTGTGCTCCCTCCGTGCTCTCCTCGCTGCCGCTGAATTAAGAGACCCGCTGCTAAAGTTTAACACTCTCCTTCACCCAGGTTTCAACCTCTTTATACGGTTTCAACGAGCGTGAGGCCACACACACGGGACGGAGCAGAGACAGGTAATGTTAAATTGAATATAACGTTGTCAGTTATAAACAAGCTCGGTAGTGAACGCTTGTCCATTTGTTGTCCATTAATTCATCATTTACCATACTAACACTTCCCCAATGGATGTTTAAGAATGTATTAAGCAGTAGCTTACATTACATTTTAAATATAGGATTTGTTCAGCTTTAGTCTGAAGGAGATAAACCACGAGGCGCGGAGGGTTGTGTGTGTTTGTGTTCCCTTATCGCTGCTGAATTACGAGAGCCGCTGCTAACGTTTAACACTCTCCTTCACCCAGGTTTCAACCTCTGTATACGGGTTCAACAAGCGCGAGGCCACACACACACACACACACACACACACACACACACACACACACACACACACACACACACACACACATGGGGCAGAGCAGAGAAAGGTAATGTTAAAGTGAATATAACGATGTCAGATTATTAACGGGCTTGGTAGTGAACGCTTGTCCATTTGTTGTCCATGAATTAATTTACCATACTAACATTAACTCAATGGATGTTTAAGAAGTTATTAGGCAGTAGCTTACATTACATTTTAAATATAGGATTTGTTCAACCTTCCCCAAGGAGAGGATCCCTCAAGTCTTGAGCACTTGAGGCAGACAATTGTTGAGGAAGTCAAGAAGACTGAGATGGACCTACCCCTCATTAAAAAGATGATGCACACCACATTTGCACTGCGGCGACAGACCATAGTGAGGACATGCCCGGCAGTGAATGAGCTCATGGACCTCTGGCCTGCTCTCAAAATGGAGTCTGAGGTAATATGGATTAGCTCTCATTTTCCTGTTTTCTTCTTTATTGATAATGGCACATTCTGTGACTCTTATAGTGGCTATTTGCTGTATAGTGTCATAGATCTTCAAAGTTCCAGCTCCTTCCCTGTGGTGTAATGTAATGCAAGGAAAAGAACAGTCCAGGTGAAGTTCTCGTTCTTGCCACAGGGAAGGAACTGACTGGTCAAACTTGGAAGATCTATTACATTTGTAAGGAGGATACCACTTTAACCTAGTTTGATTTATTTGGAACTGACTAATTGACATTGCTGTATTGTCCTTCTGCTCTGTTTTTTAAATAGGTGTATGCAGAGTTCCAACGGATTACAAACCAGAATCTGCCCAACACGTTCTACGCTGCTTTTGACCGCCATCTTCCTCGACTGATGGCCATATTTAGACCGAAGGCGTCCAAATCTGGGAAGACAGCTGAGGCTTTGGCTGACATTTTAAAAATCCATGATGAACAGGTAAAGAGATTATTTTACAATTCAAAGGTTGAACATCTAACGTTAAACAGATTCAAAAAATATCTTTGAATTTTACAATTAGCCCACTTTGTTTTTGCTATTTGTCTGATTGCATTAAAGATGTGAACAGGTTATCTGTGGATATATGTTCTGATTGGATTGACAGGTTTGTTCAGTAAACTTCACAGTCAACAGTTTGTACGCTTGTATTTTTATCGTTATAGGAATTACACGACATCGACACCAGGCGTACCACCGTTATCCATGCCCTTCCTGTGTATCTGCAAGAGGACACCTCTGGATTTTTCCGAACCTGCACAGTGAGTCTCCTTAATTCATTAACAGTACCACTCTATATTAAGTGAATAGTTCATTAAAATACAAATATTATTTCCACTTATCCTGTTTCTGTCTATCCATCCATATAGTTTGTGTGATTTGCAGAGGTTTTGGTCTGTTTTCCTTCACCCAAATACAAATGAACTGAATCGTTTTTTTTGTTTGAAGCGATACTGAAGTTAAGTAAAACATTTATTGGATATGTTTTATCTCCTGGCACTTGGTTTCACTGGTAGCTCGTCTGATTCTTTGGTGTAGAACACCTGTTTTACACCTTTAAATGTGTAGTCTGTTGACAAAACAACTCTCTAAAACATAGTTCTAACTAAAATATGAACAACTTAGAAAACATATCTCCAAGAGTTGCAGTCAAAAGATATTGCCACACAGAAAATCACGATTTTTAAAAAAATGCTCCTGCGAGGCGCGTGTGGCGCAGTGGATAGAGCATTGGTGTTCGGATCACAGGTTCAAACCCCACTGCAGTCAGCATGTCGTTGTGTCCCTGGGAAAGACACTTCACCCCAAATTGCTCCTGTGGGGATTGCCCACAGTATTGAGTATGTAAGTCGCTTTGGATAAAAAGCGTCTAACAAGTAACATGTCATGTAATGTAATGCAGCTTTAGTATCTGGTTCCGGCCATTTGTTTTAGAAATTAATCCCTTAAACCAGTGGTTCTCAACCCGTGGTATGTGTACCACTGGTGGTACGCCAGCTCCCGCTAGCGGTACGCGGAGGAATCTGACATATAACAAGTAACATGTAATGTAATGCATGACCAACACCCAGTTTGTGATTATTATCTCTCTTTCATTCATTTAGGAAGAGTCCGAACCAGAGCTTGGAGGTGTTGCAGTGGTCCTCCTTACCAGTGACAATGGCACAAGTCAAGTGCAATATCAGCCTGTGACCATCTCTGTTGTCATCGATGATATTGTGGTCAGCCTCCCCAGACTTGCAGATGCATTCCTGGTAATGTTTGGACTAATTTATGCACTACACCTCAGCTATCCCAAAGGACTGACAAACACTTTCGAGTTCACTCAGAAGGTTTTACTTGGTCTGGAAGATGGTAAATTGTCGCTCAAGTTGCAGACCCTCAAGAATGACTTGCTGATGCATCTGTAGAAATGCATCTGACAAACAGGTGTGGAGTGGGGCATTTAAGGCATTTTCCCTCTACTTCAAAGTGATTTCCTTCTGAAATAAAAATGTCTTAAGAAAGTTGCTGTACCAGTTGCTGCAGGTTTTCAGCCAGGTGGTCAAGCTGCTCAATGTTCCCTTTTACTTGTACATGTTGTATTAATGTCAAATGTGTACTGTTTACCATTGTTCACATCAAAGTATCTTTGATTTTGAGGGATGACTGTTTGTACTTTAATAATGCCAAATATTTCTGATTAACCGGCATTAATCATGTGAATGTGTGTTTATGTGTTTGTTTGTTGTTGTTGTTGTTGTTGTTGCACTTTAACTCATCCAGATGAAGATTTGATACTTGTTAATGTAATTCATTTTAGAGTTTTACAGTTAAAGGGTTCAGACTGTCATTGTGATTTTATCAAAGTTGTTGCTCTATTCAGGTTTTAACCAAAATGTGCCAAAAGTACAATTGCCTTTGCATTTTTTTTTATGACTACTTATTTTACTGTCTTGTAAATGTTAACAGGACAGCATGTTAAATAGGAGGGCTAGAAAATAAGAAATTTAGTAAAGCTGTTCAAGTTAGTCGCACTCGATTCAATTGAGGCAATCTGTTGTGTCAATGTTTTTAAGTTTTAAGTTATGTGATTTTGAGTTTACTAAGTCAATGTGTTTGGTTTGGTTGAAATAATAAATATTGAGTTCTGTTAACCCAAAAAAAAAAGACTGAGTACTTATGTCTTTAAGTTCTGGTAACTTAATCCATTAGTAGAGGTGAATTCAAATGTTTAAGTCACAGTACCTGAACATATTTGAGTTGACTTAATAAGCCATTTTAATTTTACTGTAATCAATAGGTACATGTAACATTTAATCCAATTATTTAAGTTCTTGAAAATTTTGAGTTGATTAACTTAAAATACTTGAGGCAATCAGTTGCCCTAATTTTTTTGAGTTAAGTTTACTTATTGGGGCTTACAGTGTAGTTACTAATCAAATCCTGATTTAATGTGGTCTAACCAGCTGACATGCTTCCCTTCAAGTAGCATTTATCCTTTAATTTGTAATTGTCAGATCTAAGAGCAATGTGTGGCTAAGTGGAACCCTAAAAAAATGCCCACACACACCCATTACAACACGCCTATTTGTGCCCAAATGTGTGCAAACCTGGAACATAGTTTGAATATAAGCAAGCGTTGTAAAAATAAGGAAACACTTCTGTCTGCACTTTTAGGATTAAGATCTTTACCAGCACGCATTTGCTCCAAATGACAATATCCCTGTGGTGGTGGAGGAAAAGCAGACCTCTTCCTGTTCTGGGACACAAAGCTTAATCCCTTTGCACTACAGTATGCTAAAACACCACTTTAAAGCTTGACTCATTGCCATGTGATGCCATGTATCACTTTGCTACAGGTGATCTGCTTTATGCTAATGTTAAACATTCAATCAGGTGGGATGTTATCATGATAATGACCTGCAAATAACTCTTATATAATAGCTTTTTAGGTAGTATTTGTTGCACCTAACCTCACCTTGTTGCACCCTTTACATGATGTCTGTTAGCTGATTGTTTTTTAATGAATGTTCCGTTGGTGCCACATTGCGGAAACTCTTTGAAATCAACAACAACTCCAGACACTGATTGTTTTTGTATCCCCTGCCTTCATGCCACTGGAATGTTGCATTGATCCCAGGAACACAGTTTGATGCTAAACAATAGTTTCCCACCATGTTGTTATAAGCTTCGGCTGCAAGTAATTTCCATTTAACACTCAAACAATTCCCTGTATTTGTAATTTCTGTTCATTTGGTGCTTTGATCTTTGTTCAATCGACCAACATAATGAATGAGACAAACTAATTATTTAAGCCGTTGTATAAAACTTTCGGTTTTGTAGCACACAGATTTTGGATAATGCAATATCTCTCTTCAGTAATACAAATGATATAGGATGCATTTTATTGGTGAAGTGCCCTCTAAAAACAACAAATAAATGTGAATAACCTCAACAAGAACATACAGTATGTATCCGGTCTTTCATAACCCTTACTTCAACTTTTGAGGAGAATGGTGCTGTTTACCACAAAGTGAAGAAGGCAATAACAGAGTCAAATGGTCAAAGCATCTTAACACCCCTTGACCTTCTGCTGGGGCAGATGGGAAAGGAATCTGGACTCATTGCCACACATACATAACACACACTCACAGTTTAACACAAACACCAGCCCTGCATTTAATACTATCGACCATGACATCCTATTGCAAAGACTAGAGCACTTAGTTGGCATACAGGGAACTGCTTTAGGCTGGTTTAGGTCCTATCTATCTGAACGCTCTCAGTTTGTACGTGTCAACGATGAATCTTCCACGCAAACCAAAGTTAGCCATGGAGTGCCACAGGGCTCAGTGCTTGGACCTATTTCGTTCACATTATATATGCTTCCGTTAGGCAATATTATAAGGAATCATTCTGTAAACTTTCATTGTTATGCGGATGATACTCAACTATATTTATCAATCAAGCCTGATGAAATTAATCATCTAAATAAAATTCAAGACTGCCTGAAGAACTTAAAAACATGGATGACTTTTTGATGTTAAACACGGCCAAAACTGAAGTTATTGTACTGGAATCTACGAAACAAATTATCTAAAGATATACTAACTATGGATGGCATTCATTTGGCCTCCAGTGAGACTGTAAGGAATCTTGGTGTTATATTTGATCAGGATTTATCCTTTAACGCCCACATAAAATCAATTTCAAGGACCGCCTTCTTCCATCTACGTAACATAGCAAAAATCAGGCATATCTTGCCTCAAAACGATGCAGAGAAACTAGTCCATGCATTTGTTACTTCAAGGCTGGATTAGTGTAACTCTTTATTATCAGGGTGTACCAAGAAGTCAGTTAAGTCGCTTCAGCTGATTCAAAATGCTGCAGCTCGTGTACTAACCAGAGTTAGGAAAAGGGACTACATTACTCCTGTTCTGGCTGCCTTACACTGGCTCCCTATAGAACACAGGATAGAATTTAAAATTCTTCTTCTTGCCTACAAAGCCCTTAATGGGCAGGTGCCATCTTCCTTTTTGATAAAGCTTATAGTTGGGCTGATTAGATTCAGCCCCTAGTTTTGCTGCTATAGGCTTAGTTTGTCGGGGGACAGCTTACTTCTTCCTTCTCTCTGTCTGTACCTGTGTACTCTCATGTTCTGAATAACCCAGCTTTCCCACATTTTCTTTTTGGTGTCTATCTACGGCGGGATCCTGAGTCGTGGCTGATCCTGTTGCTGCGGTCCTGAGTCCTGGATCTTGAGTCGTGGCTGTGCCTGTTGCTGTGGTCCTGGATCATAAGTCCTGGATGGATATCCTCGTGGATTCATCTTCCTATTATACACACATGCATTTCCAAACATTTGCTCTACCTATGCTGTAAAATGTATTATCTTTTCAATTTACACACGGCATCTATTGCACGTCTGTCCGTCCTGGGAGAGGGATCCCTCCTCTGTTGCTCTCCCTGAGGTTTCTCCCATGTTGCCCTTTAAACTGTGGGTTTTCTCCGGAAGTTTTTCCTTGTACGATGTGAGGGTCTAAGGACAGAGGGTGTCGTATTGTCATACTGATATTCTGTACAAACTGTGAAGTCCACTGAGACAAATGTAACATTTGTGATATTGGGCTATATAAATAAACATTGATTGATTGATTGATTGTTGGTGGTGGTGGTGCGTGACCAATGCAATGTTATTCGCTCATTGAATGTGCTCAAAAACACATTATACACGTGTTTGGGTCTGTTAGCGTTGAATATCTTTGACAGGAAAGTGGTCCAATTCAGACATGCAGGAATAAGCATTGTTATGCATTATTGTACTTACTGTAAGGCAACACACACATGCAAATACTGCACACAATCCAAGAAATTCAAACTAGTGGTCAAATAAGGTTCTCAGTACTCTGGTGACATCTGCTGGTCACAGAATGAAACAACATATATCATAATAATAATAATAAAAAAATCACTGATTGCAGCAGAGTGAGTTGTTTCATATGTTGTGAAGTCTTTGGTCAATAATAGTTTTATAGTGAAATTAGCATTATTTACAGAAATTGCAACAGGTTAAAAATGATACATGATGCGAATAAGCTTTGCAATCATGCCATACAATATCAATACCACGTTTTTTTAGGATAGAAAATAATCCAGAGATCCACAGACACCGGCCTCTGCGATCATGGATACTCACACACCGGGTCACCACCTCCAGATTAACCTCTGTGAGTGTGTGTGTGGGCGGCCGTCTGTGTCCATCTGCGAGTCAGTCATTAGTTGAAGAGCTAGTAGGCTGATCACTCACACACACACACACACACACACACACACACACACACACACACACACACACACACACACACACACACACACACACACACACACACACACACACACACACACACACACACACACACACACACACACACACACACACACACACACACACACACACACACACACACACACACACACACACACACACACACACACACACACACACACACACACACACACACACACACACACACATTGTTCAAGCCTTCTTGGCCCCCGTCACCGTCATCATGATCGAATGATGAGTAACACAGAGACAGTGCTGAAGGGAGATGATGCCTATAAAAGCAAATAAGGAATCTAGGATTGCCTTGCTTAGCTGTCTGAAAGACATAAAATCATGGATGGAAATCAACTTCTTGACTCTTAACGAAAACAAGACAGAGATTATCATATTTGGACAGTCTGAACTCCTGGATGGCTTTAATATTGTACTCGGCCCCTTAGCCTCCTACAGCCGTCCCTCTGTCAGAAATCTTGGAGTCATCTTTGACAACTGTTTTAAAAATTTGATAAACAGATAAGCTCAGTTGTCAAGACAAGCTTCTTCCAGCTGCGGCTTCTGGGGAAGGCAAAAGCCTATCTTCCT